CCCCCCCCCCCCCCCCACTTTCTGTCCCTCTTGACTCACCCACCATCGCGAGCTGCCTTTTTCTCAAACCTGCCCCTCCATCAACGACTTCCCTTGTCGCTGGTGGACTACCTATACTCTCAAGGTCTTCCGTGCGCTGACCGATTCCCTGGCGAGACGTCTCATACGGTGAGTAGCTACTAATCCAAAAAAGAAAAAAAGAATCCATCACTCCCGCAACGTTGCCGCGTTCGACGAATGGCATGGACTAAATGAACAACTGACTAATCGATTTCTCTCTGCTTTGTAGCCAAACTGTCAGTCACCATGTCCATCGATTTTCCCAAAGAAGAAGAGGCTGTCCTCCAGAGGTGGCGCGAGATCGATGCCTTCCTTCGGCAGGTTCGTTTCCTAACCACCTTTTGCAGCCCTCGAATCATTCCTCTGACCCGAGTCACTACTATAGGTAGAACTGTCTGAAGGCCGTCCTCACTACACTTTCTACGACGGGCCTCCTTTCGCGACCGGACTTCCTCACTATGGGCATCTTCTTGCCTCCACCATCAAGGATGTCATTCCTCGATACTGGTCCATGAAGGGCTTTCACGTCGAACGCCGCTTTGGTTGGGATACTCATGGTCTTCCCATCGAACACGAGATTGACAAGAAACTTGGAATCTCTGGGAAAGCTGCCGTGATGGAGCTCGGCATTGCCAAGTACAACGAAGAGTGTCGCTCTATTGTTATGCGCTACGCCAAGGAATGGCGACACACCATCGAGAGATTGGGTCGTTGGATTGACTTTGACAATGATTACAAGGTGAATAAGCACACCGGTCTGAATTATGTCGGCTTACTGATATATATCACTCTAGACTATGCACCCTAACTTCATGGAGTCCGAGTGGTGGGTTTTCAAGCAATTATTTGACAAGGACCAAGTTTATCAAGGTCACCGAGTTATGCCGTACTCTACAGTTCTCACTACTGCTCTGAGTAACTTCGAGGCCAACCAGAACTATCAAGATGTTACTGACCCTGCGGTTGTCGTCACGTTCCCCCTCGTTGACGACCCAGAAGTCAACCTGCTTGCTTGGACAACTACACCCTGGACGTTACCATCACATCTTGGACTTGCAGCACACCCTGATTTCGAATATGTCAAGATTCTGGATGAGAAGACTGGAAAGACATATGTCCTTCTTGAAAAGCTTCTTGGGACCTTATACAAGGACCCCAAGAAGGCTAAGTTCAAGATCGTGGAGAAGATCCTTGGCAAAGACATGCTGGGATGGAAGTACACGCCTCCCTTTAACTACTTCTACGACGAGTTCAAGGATGTCGCCTTCAAGGTTCTGAACGCTACCTACGTTACTGATGACAGTGGTGTGGGTATTGTTCACCAAGCTCCGGCCTTTGGTGAGGACGATTACAACGTCGCCGTTGCTGCCGGTATCGTTACCGAGAACAGATCGCCACCCGACCCTGTCAATGATACTGGTCACTTTACCGATCGTGTCTCTGACTTTAAGGGCATGCATGTCAAAGAAGCTGATAAGCACATCATCAAACACTTGAAGAACGCCGGTCGCATTGCTAACGAGTCTCAACTCAAGCATTCTTACCCCATGTGCCCTCGTTCAGATACCCCCCTTATCTACAGAGCTGTCCCTTCCTGGTTTATTCGAATTCCTGACATCATTCCTGATATGCTCAAGAACATTGAAGAGACTCGTTGGGTCCCATCATTCGTCAAGGAGAAGCGGTTCGCCAGCTGGATCGCTAATGCTCGTGATTGGAATGTCAGTAGAAACCGATACTGGGGCACACCTATCCCTCTGTGGGTCAGTGAGGATCTGGAAGAAAGAGTTTGTGTCGGAAGCGTCCAGGAGCTGCGCGAGCTGAGCGGATATGAGGGTGATCTCTCCGACCTTCATCGTGATAAGGTTGATCACATCACGATCCCGAGTAAAATGGGCAAGGGTCAGCTCAAGCGTATCGAAGAGGTATTCGACTGTTGGTTTGAGTCTGGCAGTATGCCCTACGCTAGTCAACACTATCCCTTTGAGAACGTAGAAAAGTTCGAAAAGTCTTTCCCAGGAAACTTCATTGCTGAGGGTCTTGACCAAACCCGTGGCTGGTTCTATACTCTCACAGTGCTGGGTACTCACCTTTTCGGCAAATCGCCATTCAAAAACTGCGTGGTCAATGGAATCGTCCTTGCGGAGGATGGCAAGAAGATGTCGAAGCGACTCAAGAACTACCCCGATCCCTCTATCATTATGTCCAAGTACGGATCTGATGCTCTTCGTCTCTATCTCATCAACTCGCCTGTTGTTCGAGCCGAACCACTGCGCTTCAAGGAGTCTGGCGTCAAAGAGGTTGTCCAAAAGGTCCTCCTTCCTCTCTGGAACAGTTATAAGTTCTTTGAAGGTCAGGTTGCTTTACTCAAGAAGGTTGAGAATGTTGATTTCAAATGGGATCCAAAGTTGGAGGCGACAAATAGCAACGTCATGGACAGATGGATTCTGGCATCTTGCCAATCTCTTTTGGCGTTTGTCAACCAAGAAATGGAGGGTAAGTCATCCGCTTTCTATTTTCTTACTTAACTCATGTTCTGTCTTTTCTCGAGTTCTTGCCAACGTGTCGAACCTAGCTAACTGTAAGCAGCCTACAGACTATATACGGTAAATACTAATATGAAACTTGAGCAATACAATGCGATAAATTCATACTGACTTTCGTCTAGGTTGTTCCACGACTCTTAGGTCTTATCGATAACACCACGAACTGGTATATTCGATTCAACCGTAAGCGACTTAAGGGTGAGAATGGTCTCGACGACACCTTGCACGCCTTGAACGCTCTTTTTGAGGTACTCTTCACCTTGTGTCGTGGCCTAGCGCCTTTCACACCTTTCCTCACAGACAACATTTACCTCAAACTCCTGCCTCACATCCCCAAGGAACTCCAGGGTGAAGATTCCCGTAGTGTTCATTTCCTGCCATTCCCGGATGTGCGCCAGGAACTATTCGACGAGGAGGTGGAGCGACGTGTTGGTCGGATGCAGCGCGTCATTGAACTTGCTCGTGTATCTCGTGAACGTCGCAATATTGGTCTCAAGCAGCCTCTGAAAACCCTTGTGGTCCTTCACTGCGACCCGCAGTACTTGGAAGATGTCAAATCGTTACAGAAGTACATCAGCGAAGAACTGAATGTGCGAGATCTTATCCTTTCCAGCGACGAATCCAAGTACAACGTGCAGTACAGCGTCACAGCAGACTGGCCAGTACTTGGAAAGAAGCTCAAGAAGGATATGGCCCGTGTCAAGAAGGGCTTACCTCTTCTTACCAGTGAGCAGGTTAAGGGATACCTCCAAGATAAACACATTGATGTCGATGGTATTCGCCTGGAGGAGGGTGATCTCGTGGTACGCCGGGGCGTTAAAGAGGACGATTCTTCAAAGAACTTTGAGACCAACACCGATAGTGAGGTACTCACCATCCTCGACACAGAGATCCATCCGGAACTGGCAGCAGAGGGTCTTGGTCGTGAGATCATCAACCGTGTACAGCGACTTCGAAAGAAAGCGGGACTCGTGCCCACGGATGATATTAAGATGGAGTACAGAGTTCTTGCCGACCCTGATGATGTGGGCTTATCGGGTGCCTTCAAGTCGCAGACTCCTGCTTTTGAGAGGGCTTTGCGCCGACCTCTAGAGGAAGCTAGTGCTGAGGCTCAACCTGACAGCCTCATTGCGGAGGAGGAGCAAGAAGTCTCAAAGGCTACATTCATGCTGAGATTGCTCAAGTTGTAAACTTTCATACCTAGAAATACACAGACAGGCAAAAGAAAAGAAAAACTCGTTTATAACATGATTTGATTATTTACTGCGATTTATAAAAGCAAGCTATGGTTTTTTTGAAGCTGCCTGAAAAAGGTCAGGAACATATTATGATGCAAATGACCAAAGGACCTTACCAGGTAACAGTCTTTAAGCCTCATAAACTGTTTAGCACACTTATCTTTGTGCACAGCGTTGTAATCAGCGACAATGCATTTACCATAGGCTGTGGCCTGTCGACAAGTCAGTGGCAAAATTGGTGAGAACAAGGGTAAGGTCGTGTACCTCTACGGAGCATTGGGAGACTGCCTTAGCAAACTTTTGGATGGGACGAGTTCTTTTTTGGTTCATGATGACTTGCTAAGGGATTGAAATGTGTAATGTTGCTATCTCGACTTTTGAAAAGTGGTGACGGGATCCGTGTTCACCCTATCATTGTCGAAATCGCTAGCTCGAAGCGTTGTGGCTGTGGCACCAGCCACCAGTCACCAGCCACCCACTTTACACGTATGTATCCCTACCTACTAACCACTGTACCTTACCTAGACTATCGCGACCGCGAATTCGCGTGTTTTTCTCCAAATGAAGGTCGCTTTGCGCTTTGTTTGGACACCGCCCCCTTCCTTCGAATTGAGAGTTTGTTTACTTTGACTGTGTCGCAAGCATCGCTCTAATTCAATTCTTTACCTCTCCGTTTCCCAAATTTATTTTCTTTCTCCCGCGCTTATCCTGTCTGGTTATCGCTACTTTAATAGTTTCACGATACCTTGTTGCCATCAACCGTCGAAGCGAGACACTGCGCCTTCCTGACTATGGGCCAATGACGGACGTGGGCAGCTCGCCAACAATTATCTGCTCATGTCCTCATATTTCTCGCAACAGGTTCCAAATGCGACTTCACCAGCAGCATCCATGTCGCCGGCTGTGCAGAGACCGGCTTCGCCGTCAGACGATGGCCGATCAAGCAATGCAAGTCGGACGCCTTCAAGCCAGGAACCATACTATTCTAACGAAGGTCCGTATCACTCGCAAGCACAGCCCCAGCCTGCCTGACACTAACCGCATCAGATATCGCCACACTGCACGCGGTAGTTGTCGCTGCTCAGGAGTTACTCGACTCGGTCCCCGAACCTAAGCCTCTTCCCGCTGCTGCGCTGTTCAAGGCATACGATGCTGTACTCCCCACTTATGGAATCGATCCTGACTCCGATCATCATTTATCAGCGTTTGTTTTCCGCGTAGGTGGTGAGCAAGGCGAGAACAGCCTACTTGACAAGTTCCAGTCCATACTGAACCGTATGGGCATTGTGTTGGAGTTTGGTGATAATACTACGGTCTCGGTTCGGACCTCAGCTTCTGTATCGCCAGCTGCATCCTTGGCAAGTTGTCAAAGTAACGAAGCTTTGCATCAGAAAGCGCATCAGAAGGACGAGGTACTGAATGGCCATCTTACTGCTGAAGTAGTAACGTCGCAGTTACCATCCTCGCCTCAATCGTCATCGCAATCACCATCACCGCCAAGACTACACAATCACCAGCATGATGAACAGGGACTGTCCGAAACAGACGATGAAGATGGTGATTACGAGGAAATGCGGAAAGCCGTTGTATCATCGGCTATGAACCGCTGGCGTTCTTTAGTTGCGAACCGTCGAGCTCAACCTGCACAGCGAATCCCTTCTTTTCCCAGTATTCCCGAGGAAGCATCCGCCGATGTCAGGAACTTCGAAGCTCAATCTCATTGTGAAGGATCTGCTGTAACTGCACGCCCGACTGTAACATCGATACAGATGAGTGACGAGTCGCATAGCCAGAATCCCATAAAGGAATTGACAGGCGCGTATGCCATGCCAATTTCGACACAGTCATTCATACATCGGCCTTTTGCAGTACTCAACAATGCAATTCGGTCAACGACATCTTTGATACAGGGCAATGCGCAACAGGCTCCACATGAAGACCCCTCGCACCATAACGATGAAGTCCCTTCAAGTTCCAGAGAAGGACCTCTCAGTGGACTAGAAGAGACAAAGGAAGCGCTACCCAATTCATCGCATAATCCACCAGAGGTACATTCTCCCACCATTTCAGCTCGGTCCAACACAGCGAATCAGAATGAAGATGCAATCGTCCATCATTCTACACCCCAAGAAGGCCTAGGTGATACACCACCACAACAAATGGTGGCTGAAGACAGCCCTTCGACACCTGGGCTGCAAGTCGATTTCGAGAAGGAACATAGCCGACTCCTCAAGCGGGCCAGTAGAGCTCGTGAAATTTATCTTGCAAGCAAGGTCTTCAATCACTGGGCCGATCGTACCGCTCGGCGACTCGAACGAGATGCTGTTGCGAGACGACATATGATACGCTTCCGCTACTTTCGATCTTGGAGTCAAGCTCCCGCGCTCCGAGAACCCGCTACTGATCACATGAGAGCCGCTGTCGTGATAAAAAAGTGGCAACGGACCGCCACGCAGGAGAGGAATCTGCAGGAGGTTGCACGGACAGCTGCTCGGGCCTATCAGGCAATGAAGGTCCAGCGCGCTCTTGACTGCTGGTCTTGCCATCGCCTTGCACATGTAGGCCGCCGCATGAAGGCTTTGCGTAGTAGATCTGGGGTCGTCTCGAAGTGGGTGTCGCGGGCTTCCCATGATGAGTCTCTTCAACACGCCATACGGACCCAGTCAGGTGTTCGGCTTCGAATGGATGCTGTTCACCAATGGCAGAGCCATAGGCAGAAAGAGAATCGACTGCTGGCCACTTCTCGGCGGATTGGAGAGATTCAACATTCTTTTGCTTACTTGCGAGAATGGTGGGATCAAGCCGAGACCCGCCGAAAAGCAATTGGTCATCGTCAGCAACTCATGGCAGAGAAAGTCAACTCAGCTTTTAACCTGTGGAACTTGAGAGCAAGAGCTCAAGCATTCCAATGGAGACGCGAGTATCTTCAGGTTGGACGGGCGTTCGATCGATGGCTTCAGTGTGCAGACCAGGACGGTGATATGGGACGGAGAGCGGAAGAATACTACGAGGGGCAGGCCAAGACCAAGGTCCTGAGGGGTTTCTGGCGACTACAGTATGCTTCTTCCCAGATGATACGCCTAGAAAGTCGAGCTCGCCTGTATCTTGGAGCAACTACAGTTTTGCGAACCTTCGATCGAACTATAAGGGATCGCAAAAGCCAAGACAAGCAGTCAATCAAGAGATATCTCATGGCGCGATACACACAAGTATCATCTGCCAGGAAGAAGCGCAATTTTTTCAGTGCCATCGACCGGTGGAAAGCCTTCGTCATGGAGGATCGAGTCCAAAGTGACACGGCGCAGGAGCTGCTAGGTCTGAAGGTGTCGCACCAAGTGGCGCTGACGATCGATACATGGAAGGAACAAGTAGATGTGCACCATCAGCGCAAACAGTCAGCTGAACTGCAACATGCGCAAGGCTGGCTAGAAGTCTGGAAGGTGCACACCGGTGACCTTGATCAGCAAGATACAGAAGCCTGGCAACTGTGGGCAGTTGCCAAACAACGCCAGTGCCTAAAATCGTGGTCGATCGCCTCCCTGCAGCAAAGCGGTCAAGCTCATACGGCGTCGGAAGTTCAAAAGAAGCACGAACGTGAGCGACGCAACCGCGTCTTGCAACACTGGAAGCAACGGGACGATAGAATCCGCCTATCTACTCGAGGATCCCGCCCACACCCGAACTCTGTACCCGCCGCGTGGCCTCGCGGTGGTTGGAGGATGATTTCTGGGAGGCGTTCAATGGTAAATCGCAGCGATCGGAGTTATGATTACTCTACTGCACCGCTCGAGACACCAACGCGATGGACAGGTCAGCCGTTCTCCATGTCAACGATAATGCCACCTGGATCAATGGCGCCGCTTAGGGAGGCTGATGAGAACGACGAGGCATTCTCCGGTGACGACGACGAGGAGGAACTGCCATTATCACCGTCGCTTAGGCCTGCCTCAAGGGGACCCGCCCAATTCTCGTCTCTGTCATCGACGACCCCAATGGCGCCAGTGCCGTCGCACTTGGAACGAGGCACATCAGGACAAAACGAATCTGATGGTGGCTTTGCAGCCAGAGGAACGACACCGCGTCGTTCGCGAATGCCAAAATTTGAATCAATCCAAGCGGCCCAGGGCTTGTCTAGGCAAGTCGAGGTTCCAGAGTCTGAAGGGCTTAGGCGGGATAAGCTCTTGCAACAGCCACTCGTTGCGAAGAAGTCTTTCGGATTCAAGCCTTTGAATGGCCGTATCGTTGCACCTCGAACTTCCTCACCGGACCCAAACTCTTCAATAGTGGGCAGCAAATCCGTCGGTGCCAAGCCCTCCGACATGCAGTCCGCCCCCCTGCGGCCAACTGCGAAGTTTACAACGGCAACGAGATCGGTGCGCATACAATCACCGAGGACATTCTCAGCTACACCACATGCCCGCCCGTTACGAGCATCACGGAGTGACCAAATGCGCGGCCGCGCAGGTGTGAATCAATAGTTGTATTATAGGATAGGGTGGTTGTTTGTATACGGAGGAGGATAGGACAGTTGTGAAGAGCAGGATTGGGCAAGTATGGCTGGATGTGATTGTTTTACGTTGGATGACCTGTTTCATAAAAAGTATACCCCTTTCTGTTAGTATTGAGTTAAGCGATTGCATAACGGCGCTATGCCGATGGCGTTGGACAAGCAATAGTTTCTTGTATACATGTTCTTGAGCTCAGAAATTGCTTAGATTAGTACCCAGCTATGCATTCGATAACGGAGGCTGTGAAGCGCAATTCGGAGCTACATGCCTTAACCTCTGAAGCACTTTATTTATGAATGCTGCCAGTATAAACCTTTTATAGCCGAGTAGTATGGAACATGGTCTATTTTCGAATACGCATCACTTTTCTTTTTTACCCTCAAGTGCTGCGTATCGCGATATTGAACTGGTCCTTTAGGGATTCAACCTGCTAGGTGGTACTAGGTACTACCTACCTATCGATAGAAGTCGGTCAATTAGTGTCATCCTTCCAATGAATTCATATGTAGCCGTACACCTATGGGTCCCGTCGCCTTGGTGTGGGTTCCACTATAGGTGACTAGCACCTACCTACGGTAAATGGGGGTCACGTCACTTCTACACGCTAGGTTGATCTTCACCCGTTAATTGCATCAACTCTCCCTCATGGGTTAGTAATAGTCGCTAGATTACTCTGCACCAAAGCTATTAAACCTCACCTCATCTCCTGCATCCATCTTCTGCGCTTGATCATAGCGCCACCGCATTCCTCAAGATATGCGCGCAAACCGTGCTCCGTGATAGCATGAAGGCCGTTTTGCCGGGAAACCCGCGCTCAAGGCTTCAAGGGTTAGCCTCGGGTTACTGGGACTCCCGACACATCAATGTAGATACCAACTTGACATATACTCTCGAGCCCAAACTCTACTGACGACTGGTTATTGCATAGACATACATCACAGGCAGCGCCTTTACGATATTGGAAGGATCCCATAGAATTCTACAGACAGTCTACGACGAAGGGGAACAAACTCTAGAAGCTATCGCAGTGGATGAGGCGACGGGCAAGATCGCTACTTGCACCTTGACCCAAGTTCGCGTGTACAAACCTTTCGGATCGCATGAGGACACTTCGAAGGTTCACCCCTGCAATCTGCCTCCTCATAATTTGGACATGAGCTTACAATTACAAGTGGGCACTTGAAGCCACCTTCGATATTCCCTTCCCGAACCCTGACGACACGCCATGCACATTGTCGTGGGGCAGCTCCGAGGAACTTCTAGTAGCCACCCACTGCTTGTCCCTGTTCGACACCAAAACCGAACCTAGGTGTCTCTGGCAGAAAGAGTTGTCGAGCATTGCCAAATATGCAACATTATCATACGATTCGAGATACATCGCTTCGACGGGCCATCATGATCACTTGATCAAGGTCTGGCGTAGACTCAACTTCGGTGCCGACGAAGTCCGCTTCGATCTCACGTATCTTCGACACCCAAATATTATAACCTCGGTGAGGTGGCGCAGGCCGTTTCATGTGGAACAGGCATCGGACAACGTTTTGTATACCATATGTCTTGATAAATGCATCCGCGTATGGACACCGACAGATACGCCTGACGGGAAGCATTGGCAGCTATGGGGCCAGGTCGATGTTTGTGCGCCCTCGCAAGAGAATCCCGAAGGGGTGGAAATGCGGTTTGCTCTAGTTCTTGATGGGCGAGATTTTACCGCTTCTGTCGAGCAAGCTGTACAGGCGCGAATGTCTGACGACTCGAACACCGATGACCCTGTCGCTCTCGACCACCTGGTAGCGATCGCAACCAAGAACCCGGAAATTTGTATGGCTTTTGACGGAAAAGGAATCATGTCAGCCTGGGCCCTCGAGAATGTTGGGACTATTACGGCGAATTCACCAACTCTTTTCAAGGTAGCACAAGTTACAGACATCCATTTTGAGCTTGTCGGCAAATTCCTATCAGCTCATGACACCCCTCATACCGAGATTGAGACGTATTGCGACAAGAATAGTGGTAAGGTCCATTTCATGTTGCACGCATTTGATGGAAGGATAGGCGTGTTCAGTGGTAGCGTTGCAGATTTATTTGATCCTACCACTAACGATCGGCGCCTCTCCCTGCAAACTATCTGGTCTGGACATTCGACTTCTATCACTAAAATTGTGCGAAACTACAGCGGGCGGGCGGTAGTCTCTCGCACACGGGATGGCGAAAGCATCGTATGGAAACATCTCTTGTTGCAGCAGGACAACTCAGGGCTTGCTCTCACAAGAGCAAGTGTCGTACCGGAAAAGGGTCATATCCATCGAATATGTGTGCTGAGGAAGGGTCGATTTGTGGTATTCCTCCGCCACGAAACAATCTTACTTTGGGACTGTAGGACTCGCCGAGCTTCTGTGCTCGCTCAATGTGGTTACCAGGTTGTAGGGAAACCCCTCTGCCTTATCATTCTTCCTCGGTCAGATGTCAAGAACTACACCGTTGCTCATATCGCAACTATAACCTCGGAAGGACATGGCATTGTGTGGGAAGTTCAATTGCCTCGCTACTTTGACGACCCAAAAACAACAGCAGGTGCTAGTATTGAGGAGCTAAGCCACTTTGAACTAAAAGACATCAAAGATCTGGCATATGTTCTGCCGGTAGATCCTGCCGGGTCTCAACCTGTCGTCTCAAGCTTTCTAGATATATTTGCTCGCGATGTCGCCATTTCTTATACCCATACAGGTCGCGTGGATTTCTGGACCGCACGAGTTGACACTGATAACCGTAGTGTTGGATGGTTGTCTACATGCACCACTGAGACAGGTATATCCCAGCCGGCGTTGGTAAGTGGAAGTACTTTGAAAAAGGCTGCTCTAGTGAATTCGTCGCGGTCGCAACTTACAATCTGGGACATCGGGGGTGCTCGCCTCGAATATGAAAACAACTTTCAAGAGCATCAGGTCATACAAGACTTGGACTGGACATCAACACCTGATGGTCAATCTATCCTTGCCGTCGGTTTCCCTTATCGAGTAATACTCCTTTCGCAAATGCGATTCGACTACCTGAACAAAGGCCCAGCGTGGGCGCAGATACGCGAGATCAGCATTCGAGAACTCACCCCCCACCCAATTGGCGATTCAACCTGGCTGGGCGATGGTCATTTGGTCATTGGTGCAGGGAACCAGATGTTTGTCCAGGACAGGCATGTCGGAGTCTCCGAGTCGATGAAGACAGATTTGCGACTCCCTTTACGCAAAGATGGCAATCTGGATTTGTTCCAGGTCGTTCAGCGTTTTAATGGCCCTTTGCCGGTCTTTCACCCCCAATTTCTCATTCAATGCATCTTGTCAGGCAAAGCCACACTTGTACGACGCATTCTGGTTGCTATGCACAAGACATTGAAGTATTATATCGAAGGCGAGGCTCTAGATGACTATCTGGGGATGGATATGGTTGAGTTTTATATGTCCGGGGTAAGTTATTACTTCGTTCCATCATTGACTGCACAGCGGGTTAACACGACGCCTTAGCAAAGCCACGCCCTGGCCAGTGAGAAATCCAGTGGTATCTACCTCAACGGCAATCGCGCGAACGACGTCGACGATGAAGACGTTTTCACTGAGCAGACTGCTGTATTGATCAATGAAAAACTGGTTAAGATCAATATTCCACAACTCTCCGGGCATGAACAGATTCAGTTGGCAGACATTATCGAATGCGTTTCCCTCGTTGAGCGTCACCGCCGCTCAATGGACGAGAATGGCGCTCGATTCATGCTGTTGTTCCGTCAACATGCCCTTCGCAAAGGACGTACCAACGAAATGCACCTTTCATGGAGGGAAATCAATTGGGCCTTTCACTCCAACAGTCAAGATATCCTTGTAGACTTTGTTTCCCGACAGAACCACGGCAACATGCTGTGGGAGCATGCCCGCGAGAGTGGTCTTTTCATGTGGTTGACTGACCCAACTGCACTGGTATTTGTTTAATGACATAACACACAATCACCGCATCAGCTAACGACTTACAGAAAGCCCAGTTTGAGCTGGTCGCCCGAAATGAATATACCAAAAACGAGGTCAAAAACCCAGTGGACTGCAGCCTATATTATCTTGCTCTTCGTAAGAAGACTGTTCTTCAAGGCCTGTGGAGAATGGCGAACTGGAACAAAGAACAGGCAGCCACACAACGATTGCTCGCAAACAACTTTGAAGACCCTAAATGGAGATCTGCGGCCCTCAAGAACGCATATGCTCTGCTTAGTAGGAGACGATTTGGTAAGACACTTGTTTGCAGGCCTGGATGATGCCGAGTTGACTGTGTTTAGAGTATGCTGCTGCATTCTTCCTTCTTGCCGACCACCTCCACGACGCTGTTCAGGTGTGCCTTAACCAATTAAAAGACATGCAACTTGCCATAACTATATCTCGAATATACGAGGGGGATGACGGCCCGGTACTGCGCCGACTCCTTCAAGAAACAGTCCTGCCGCTGGCAGCCCAAGAAGGCAATCGCTGGCTTGCTGCCTGGGCGTTCTGGATGCTCGGCCGCAAGGATGTAGCTGTACGAGCACTTATTGTACGTCATTACAGCTCAGACACACAGGATGCAGGAGACACAAATATTGACCTGGCTCACAGACGCCCGTGTATACGCTGCTGGAAACCCCTTGCTCTCCTGACATCAAGTCTCGGCTATATCTCACGGATGATCCTGCACTGGTCGTTCTCTACTCACATTTGCGTCATCAAACGCTACAGACTTTGAGAGGTGCTTCTAAAATTACCCCAAAAGTCGAGTGGGAGTTCGTGCTACACAGTGCCAAGTTGTATGACCGAATGGGCTGCGACCTTCTCGGACTGGATATAGGTACGAATTGGAACAGCAGATGATTAGTTGAACGTGCGCTGACATCAAGACAGTACGGAACTGGGAGTTTCAGCGGTCTCCAGGAGCGGTTGGCCTCGGCGGAGAGGTCAACCCTCTAAAACTGCTCCGGAGGAGAAGCTCGCTAGTCGTTGCGGACTTACCGTCACCCGCCCTCCATCTTGAAGCACATCGGGAGAACAAGAAGACAGTCAAGGCACCCCCGACAATGCTTGAAGAACCAGATGCAGCTTCCCTTCTGGATAGTTTCGGGTTTTGACGTACCCGTAGACAGGTAGCAATGGGTATAGTGATGAAGCCTGATCTCAGCTTGCCAGCCGGGAGACTGACTCGACATATATGTATGGAACCAACTCAACTTGCTGGGGTATGATAAGCATGCAGTAAACAGTTGGTAGTTGATTAACATTGAGATTAAAGTCTAGATACTGAATACGATGAATAATAAATAATAATAATTGGCCTACCTTGGTCTAGGAACATACCTACCTAGGTAGGTACTAGGTAGTTAGTTACCTGACATGAATTAGGTAATTTGGGTCATTGTGCATGGTAATAGGTAGGTACCTGGGTATCGCCTTAGTCATGGCGTTTTCTTGCCCCGGAAGCTGCAATATACTATGTACCTACCTACCTAGGTAGTACCTAGTCTAGTGTGGGGAACATACTACCTAGGTAGTACCTAGCTTACCTGCCTCAGGTAGTCGACTGAACCGATCTACAACTGACCTACATTCAAACGCGTCTCTCAACATCGCCATCATCTCTGACATTTAATATTAAGTAAGGATGGCGACGCGTGTAGTTCCAGGACGCAGCTTCACCGCTCGAGGCGTTCTGGCCGGCCTCGCAGTGGGAACCATCATCTGCTTTTCCAACATGTATTTTGGCTTACAAACAGGATGGGTCTCTATCATGTCCATGCCGGCGAGTCTTATGGGCTTTGGCATCTTCAGGCTCCTTGCTCCGCACCTGAGGTTTCCCTTCTCCCCAGTCGAAAATGTTCTGCTGCAGAGTGTGGCTTGTGGCATGGCCATCATGCCACTAGGATGTGGATTTGTTGGCGTTGTAGGTGCCCGGTCGTGAAATGGAATGAATTAACGAAAGACGGGTTCTAACTGAGTGAACAGATCCCGGCCTTGAATTATCTCCTGGCTGCCAACGAGCAGGGGCCGATTGATCTGAGCACATGGCAACTCATAGTCTGGTCTTTAGGGCTTTGCTACTTTGGTGTTGTCTTTGCTGTCCCTTTGTAGGCCTATAGCTAACCCTCCCTGTTCTTGGCCCAACCAAACTGACACTGCATTATTAGACGCAAGCAAGTCATCATTCGTGAGCGCCTCAAATTCCCTAGTGGATTCAGTACTGCCGTCCTGATCTCGGTCCTGCATGGCCGAGGTCGTCAAACCACAAAAGATGAACTTGACGCGGCCGCCAAGGGCGGGTTTGCCAGCCTTGTTCCTCCTGATGAGCCATCTCAGTCAGATACCCCCAGGCCAGCTGATACAGATCGAGAGCACCAATACGACGCTGAAAATGACCCGTCAGATCAAGGAGATTGGGCAGCCAACATCAAGTTGTTGCTGTTGTGTTTTGGTGGCTCTGGACTCTACACACTCGCTACCTACTTCTTCCCCATACTGCGCAATCTGCCCATTTTCGGCCCAACCGCGGCTCATATGTGGCTATGGACGTTCAACCCTAGCTTTGCCTACATTGGCCAAGGAATCATCATGGGCACAGAGACAACCCTGCACATGCTGCTTGGTGCTGTCGTGGGCTGGGGAGTCCTTAGTCCCCTTGCCAAGTTCTATGGGTGGGCGCCGGGTGATGTGAACGACTGGGAGCATGGTAGCAAGGGATGGATCATATGGATCTCTTTGGCAATAATGTTGGCGGATGCCATCGTGAGTCTTGCTTACGTAGGCCTTCGCGGAATCCTTACCAGTCAGAAAGCCGCTAGCCTTGTCTCCTCTTTACGATATCGAGTGAAAGAACATGGCGTCTTTGGGTTCTGGAAACCCCTCAGCCATGTTCATTCGCCACTTCTTTATGTCGGTACGCCAGGTCGCATTGAGCGGCATGATGACTACCTCGAAGACGACGGGGTGGAGTCAGAAGATGCCCCCCCACACCAGCGTATTGGTGGTCGTATGGTTTCAATTGGCCTTCTTGCATCGATTGCGCTCTGCGTACTTACGATTCATATAGTATTCGGAGATCTCGTACCTCTCTACGCCACAACTATCGCCGTCCTTATGGCCCTGGTACTAAGTATCATGGGAGTCAGGGCGCTGGGCGAAACCGATCTAAATCCTGTATCTGGGATTAGCAAACTGGCACAATTGTTCTTCGCACTTATCATTCCACAATCACATAAGTCTAGTGTTTTGATCAATCTAATTGCTGGAGCCGTGGTACGTCTGGCCAAATCTTATCAGACAGTCATTTACTGACTTATCACAGTCCGAGGCCGGTGCTTTACAAGCCGGCGATCTAATGCAAGACCTCAAGACTGGTCACCTCCTAGGAGCGGCGCCAAAAGCCCAGTTCTGGGGCCAAGTCATCGGAGCAACAGTGGGTTCTATTCTGAGCGCCTTTATCTATCGCATTTATACAAAGTAAGATCTCATGCCTTGAGCTGTCTGTATTATCCAAAAGATTCTTACATGTTTGACGTATAGGGTCTACACAATTCCTGGTGATCTCTTCCAAGTACCGACTGCCTACGTCTGGATCTTCACCGCAAGACTTGTCACAGGCTCTGGGTTGCCAGATCGGGCTAAGGAATGGGCTATCGGAGCTGCCGTTTTATTCGCATTCGTCACCATCATCAGAACACTTGCTATTGGCAAGAAATGGCGACCTCTGATTCCAGGCGGCATTGCCGTTGCTGTTGGTGAGTTCATCAAGCATGATGCTAAACCAACTATCTGACGTTGAACAAGGCATGTATAATGTCCCATCCTTTACGCTAGCTCGGACTGTAGGTGGTCTGTTCGCATGGTACTGGGTCCATATATCGAAGAGGAAGCAAACACCTCTTATCATCCTTGCCTCAGTACGTACAAGACCCCAACGGCGATAGTGTATCGCTAATATTTCTAGGGCTTCATTCTTGGCGAAGGATTCCTGAGTATTGTGAACCTTCTACTGCAGGGCCTAGATGTACCTCATTTGTGATTGTGACATGTATTGCGACACCACTCAAGCAAGGTAGTACATTGCCCTATAGACCAAGTAATATGTGGCTAAACTGACGAAAAAGCACCTATTTTAGCTGCCACGAATGCTTCCTAGAGCCGCCCTCAGAATCAGTCCAAGATGCCCGCAAGACCAGCGCTCGGGCATTGTCGTCGGCGGCTGTGAAAACAATCTCCCCAGATAGACTCTTTGGACACTTGTTGGATGGGTTGTCAGTAGGAGGCGCAATCAAGAGACCTTGCTTCCAGTGAGTGACAGTGCCAGAGGGTCCAGTTGTGAATGCGACACCACCTTGGTCCGTCTTGTCCCAGGTCTCTGGCGTTGTCTCGGCGGGGGGTACTGGGTCGCTGCGGGCCGTGGTGAAGAAGTTGTCGAACCAGATTAAAAAACCATCAATATTTTCGACCTCGCGCGTGAGGTTAGACTTCCACTCGGCGGTAAACTGAAGATCTTCGGTCTTGACAGCATGAAGATCGAGCACTTTGAAGGGGAAGGGTTCGCCACAAAGAGAGCTCTGGGGCATGGCCTCAACTCTTGCCTCCTCATAGATCCCCTCCTGCATGGTCTTCATGTCAAAACCGTAGACATCTCTCCAGAAGGAGATGTGATCTGAAATGTACTCCGAGTCTGCAACAGGAGCAATCCAGATAGTGGCAGAGCTCGGCGCCAGGATACCATCCGGCTTGAGATAGCGGTCCCGAGCGTACAATACACTGGGGAGCATGGCTTCGTAGAGAAGGCAGTAGCCCATCCATTCGCTGACAATGATATCAACTTGCTCCACGGGCAGCTTAACGTCCTCGATCGCGCCTTTGAGGGTAGTGATGACTTCAGATAAGCCATTGTGAAAGATGTTCTCCCTAGCCTTAACAATGATGTCTGATTTGTCAACAGCAATGACTTGCTTGGCACCTGCCTTTGCGGCAAACATGCTCAGGATTCCTTGATTAACCTTGTTAATGTTTGACGGCTTGGAACACAGTGAGTGACTTACCAGTTCCACATCCGATGTCGAGCACAACCTTGTCCTTGAAAATGTGCTTGTTGTTGTAGATGAAGTCGCGATATGCGTCAGTTCGCACGGTATCCTTCAGCATAGTCTCGTGAATCTCTGAATGCAGTCAGTACAGCATCATGCGTCATGACATTGAATGGAAGTACCGTGAGCAGCATATGACTCAAAATAGTAAGCAGAGTCGTCCTTCTTCTCAATAGAAGTCGCTTCGGTATTATCGTCACCCCAACGTTTGTCGAGAGTCTCTTGAACCGTGATACGATAACTGGCAAATTGATCTTGAAGTTTCTTGAGTTCCTCCTCAAGCTCTTTGTTGCGTGCCGCAAGATGACCCTCCTTGGTCTGGTCATTGGTCATAGCTTCCAGAACTTCGTCGAGAGAGAAGATGAGTGCGTCATCGTCAAGAACTGGGCGAAGATATTTTTCATCCTCTAGGTCCTCGGCAGAGATATTCTTGGGCAGTGGCAAGTCGTTCTTGACATGATGGCGAACAAAATTGACCAACTTGACAGCACCATGAAAGTCTAGTTGGAGCCTTTGCACGTCCTCGATGAAGTTGTATCCGTGGTTCTTGCTGCTATCCTCAAGCATGGCAGCGACCGTTGGGAAAGTCTGCGTGGTGAAAAAAGATGTGATAGGAATCGACTCCTCATCCGATTCCAGATCAAGCCATTCACCCTCATCCGAGGCAGAATCTTGCACGGACATCTTGACTACAATAATTGAATTGAACCACAAGAAATAAATCCACAAGAAATGAATAATTTTGTTTTGACCTGGTAGGTAGGTACAGTACTGGCATAGAGGACGAAAGTATTTTGTGGGATCACCGTTATTGTTATTGGATGAGACTATGCCCTGTTGGGGAATTTTTTTTCCGGGTCAAGAAAGCAGCCAGATGCAATCCGCGAGGCGTTTGCTCTTGATATGTCTGTAAGGGGTATGGTATAGACCATCATATCGCAGCTCTCTTGTTCATGTGCGACTTTGTCACTTGCTATTTTTTTGATTTCGGCTTCTTGTCACTCCCATCATCAGACTCTTCAAACCCATCGGCATCAGAATCATCCTCGTCTTCATCCTCATCGTCGTCGTCCTCACCATCTGATACAGTTTCTCCCAGCTCAATCAAGCGAGCCTATGGCATGGTCAGTATGGTGCTTGCATTGCACGTGGGTAATATATCGCTGCATTTAGCTTACCTTGTACTTTGTCACCTTTTCTTCCAGGTCGCCGAACACCATCAGAAGATCGTCGAGCTCTGACTGTGTCGTTTCCTTAGCTTCCCTCAACTCTGATAACTGTTTATCGGCGTCGACTTTAGCTGCTTCTATGGATCCAGACAGCTGTTTCTCAGCTGCTTCCCTAGCTTTGTTTGCTGTTGACAATTCCAATTCCATCTGTAGTATAAGTTAGTCGTTTGGGCGTCAAACTGAATGAGCTGCCGGTTCCTTACTTTTTCAAGCCTGGCCTGCATCTCCTTCATTCCAGCATCTCCGCCGCTCAGTTGTTTCTCAAGGCGCTGGCATTTCTCCTCTGCCTCGACGGTCATTGACTTCTGTTGCTCTAGTTCGTCCTCGCCCTGTTTCTTGACCGCTTCTAAGTCGGCATCCTTCCGTCTGCCAAGTTCCTCTGTTTCTTTCTTGTACATCTGTTCTTGCGCATCTGATTGTGCTTTGACGTCTGCTATCTCCTTATCCTTATCCTCGCGGAGATGGCTTAATGCCGCTTCGTGGTTTTTCCTCTGCGTATCCAAGTCCTTCTCGCGTAGTTTTTGAAGCAGACTGTGCTCTTTTTGAGACTACATTCGCTACAGCGTCAGTGGGACTGCTCCTGTCTCAAAAGGGAAGAGGAGAGCACGCACCTTCATCAAGTCAACCTCCAGACGGCTGATAGTTGCCTTAAGGTCAGCTATCTCAGCATCTGTCCGTCGTCTGATCTTCTCCGCCTCAGCTTCTGCGGTTTTCCGAATCTGCTCGAGTTGCTTCTGGTGATTGCTGTCCTGTGTGGACTGTTGTGACCGCAGCTGAGCGATCTGGTTCTGGTATTCATTTTCCTTGGCTGAATATTGTGACTGCAGCTGGGCGATGTGCTTCCGCTGATCGTTCTCTTTGGAAGCCAATTGAGCTTGGAGTTTTCTGCAAGGACATTAGTTCTTTAGCACCATTAACAGCCAAGCGGCGTACCGTAATTCATCGCTGTGATTCTTTTGTAGACTCTCATGAACTGTCTTGAGTCGCTGCGTCTCCAAGGCAGCAGCTTCTTTAGAGCGACGATGCTCAGCCTGTTCTTGAACGAGCTGCCTCTGAAGCGCAGCCAGCGCTTCTTGCTTCTCGTTAACGACATCCTGCTTTTCCTCAACTTGGCTCCGAAGAGAATCCACCAGCTCCCTGGAAACACCCTTCTGAATACCGTTAGTGACTACAGATATCTCCATACCCGGTTCCCTATCGATAGCACGCGCTATCCGACTGTAATTGTCCTTAGAAAATTCAACGAATGCTCTGTCAAAAAAGACATCAGGCAATCGCCCAGGAGAAGAGACATCGAGCTTTTGAGGCAAAACCTCAAAGTCGCGCATGAGGGGATGGCTACGAAGCCTTGATAGACGGTCTAAGTATAGATCTCGATCAATTCGAGATGTTAAGATACCAAGCAAGGTTGCCCGTGGGATGGGCGAATCCTTGGTGGAAAACTCGTAAGCGGTGCCCAGCAGCATAGCGCACAGTCCTTGAACAAGTTCACCGCCGCCCATCGCTGGAGGTTGCGAGACAGCCTGGATCAAACTTTGTACATTGGACCCTTCTGCGAGAAAGTCGTCAACAGCATCCAGATCCTCGAAAAGCCATCCTAGTAGCAGCATAAGGTATCCCACCAAAATGCGAGGGTCATCATTCCGACGAAGGCCTGATATTACATGTGCTGTGAGAGTCTGTATGCCAGTGACTACCTCTTCGCCGTCCTCACAATCACCCTCTGTAAGGTTCATAGCCGCTGCTTTTGCTTCTGGATTTTCGTGTAGTAGATGAAACGCAAGCACGGCAGCAAACCACTGTCGATATGGATCACTGATTTCAGGAGAAGGTTGCAAGAGAACTGTCAAGACATTAGAGGGTTCATTGGCGCCAGATTGATGGCCTTCGATGGCCCTGCCAAGGAAGTGCAACTTGACAGCCGAATGATTGGCGAAGTAGGCCTCCAGACATCCAGCCGCCGCAAACCGCACATCAAACTCTTGAAGGTCATGTGAGCAGAGTGTGAGGTCTAGTAACCCGTCAATGACGAATATTCTGTCCTGTTCGTTTGCCTGTCCATCAACCGCTCCACCCTTATTCAGAGGAGCCAAGACCGTCATCTGGGCGAATGCCTCCTGAAGAGGTGCATTTTGACGAATGATGTCTCCGCAAGTAACTAGAGCCTATATTGCATGTTAATGGAGTCACTCCCTGGACACCGATATGTCGCACCTCGGCTTTGATCTGTGTCTGAGCTTCATGACTGAAGGCCAGGTGGAGAACTTGATGGGCGAGCCCATGTTTCCAGATTGCTAATTGATTCAGATTTGCTCCTGCCGATCCCCGAATGACAAAAAGACGTATGACAGCCAGAAAGGCATAGACATTGCGATTCCGTTGCGTTGTTGCCCATGAAGCAATCTCGGACCCATCAGATTGAGGGTTAAGCACGCGTCCTAGTAGATCCGCAAGGCGATTGATACAGCCTGATTCCCGAAAGAGCGACTGGTTCGAGCTATTTGACCGGAGCAAATTCGCCAAAAGTATTAAGCAATCCTCGACGGTGCGCCCGCCCTCAGCCAAGGCTCCGTCTGCCTCGATGATGGAGAAAAGTCGATCGAAGGCATTCTCGAAAGCTACTAACTTCTGGATCTCGATCGATGTTGGGGTGAGATATGTGAGGAGGAGGATAACTTCGTTGCGTATAGCGTCGCGTTGGTCGTCGAGAACAGAAACCAGTCGTGGTATTCCTAGAGGCGCAGTAAAAATGCACTCCTCGGTTCGTTCAGTTCGAGCTGCAAGGATAGCGGCAAGTAGTTGCAGAGAGTAAAGACGAGAGTAGAAGTCGTTGGTATCGAGGAAATCGAGGAGCAATGTGATGTTCTCTTGACGCTGAGTAAACTCGTCTGCAAGCCAAAGAGCAATCTCCTCTGAAGCTTCGGGGCTATCCTCATTCGGACTGAAGAGCATTAATAAAGTTTCAAGCACAACCTTGACCGTGTCAACATCTTCACCGTCTTTGCTCAAGCTCCCAATCAAACTTCGTAGGGCACCTGAAGCAACAGATGCTGGGTAATCCTTAGCAAAACTTCGTAGACCCAATATGGCCGCTCTTCGGTCCTCTAATAAAGTCGCTGAGCTCAGACGGCCGCTTAAGACATCGATAGTTTCGCCAACTGATTGTTTCGCCGGAGCGCTGGCAATGGAGGAGAACATGGTTGCAGCGCCTTAATGCCATATGGCTGAGAGAAACTCAGAATGTTGCATGAGCACCTCGGACGTTGGTCGAAACCGTTCCTCTCGTTGGTGAAGATCACAGAAGAAGCTATCCCAATTTAGTAGTCAATCGCTAACGTTACTTAGTAACTAGGGGGTAGGTAAGTCACCTCTGGCCAGCTTGTCAGAAGAGAATGGTTCAAACAAGTACTGCAACTCAGGTACTGCATAAGATCTGTTTGGAGCATATCCTGACGAAGTACCCACCACCTACCACACGGCGTCTAGGTGGTACTTAGGTACCTAAATACCTAAGCCACGCCTGCAATCAAGTGGGGCTCATGATTAGCGCCTTTGTGCCTTGGGAGCGTGGATCAAAGGATCATTTCGCGACTAGACAAAGTTCGCATTGTTATTCATTTTCTACATTGAACATCATCGTGGGAATCCTCAAAATCGTCCACATTATCCTCTCGTTACCGATGGAAAGAAAGTAGCAAAAGCTCTTCTATTCCATTCATACATTTCAAGGCTTTGTGACCGCATCGTCTCAGTTCTGCTTGACGTCCTCCCGCGCGGTAGTTTGCGACGAGACTTTCAACTCGACGGTTCTCGCGTTACCGACAAGATGGGTATCCCAGCGGCTTTTCGATGGCTTTCCTCCAGGTATCCCAAGATTATATCGCCGGTGATCGAGGACCAGCCTATCAGCATGGAAGATGGTTCGACGATTCCTGTTGATACCACTCGTCCCAACCCGAATGGCGAAGAGTTCGACAATCTCTATCTCGACATGAATGGCATCGTTCATCCCTGCTCTCATCCTGAAGATCGACCAGCACCTAAGGACGAGGAAGAGATGATGATGGAGGTGTTCAGATATACCGACCGTGTCGTAAACATGGTGCGACCGAGAAAGATCCTTATGATTGCAGTTGGTACGTCCTTACTTTGTCCCAGGCTCCATTGTTTAACCATGACTTCTCTCAAGAAGAGACTACTCGATGCTGACAAAGTGCGGCAGATGGTGTTGCGCCTAGGGCGAAAATGAATCAACAACGGTCGAGACGATTTCGTTCTGCACAGGAAGCACAAGAGAAAGAACAAGATAAGCAGGAGCTTATAAAATTGTTAAAGCAGCAAAATGGCGGGAACTTGACGACCGAAAGCTTGGAAACCGTGACGAAGAAGGCTTTCGATTCAAACTCGATCACTCCCGGTACTCCTTTCATGGACATTCTCGCACTCAGTTTAAGGTACTGGTGTCAGTATAAGCTGAACACAGATCCGGGCTGGGCAAAGTTGAAAATCATCATCTCGGACGCTACCGTTCCTGGCGAGGGCGAGCATAAAATCATGAACTTTGTCCGTTCTCAAAGAGCATCCCCTGAACATGATCCGAACACTCGTCATGTCATTTATGGCCTGGATGCGGATCTTATTATGCTTGGACTTGCAACTCATGAGCCGCACTTTAGAGTCCTGCGCGAAGACGTGTTTTTCCAGGACCAGAAGGCTCGTCTTTGCAAGCTCTGTGGCCAGAAGGGACACGATGCTCAGAATTGCCGCGGCGAGGAGAAGAAGAAGGACGGTGAACATGACGAGAAGGACAAGGGTGTTGCTCTCAAACCTTTCATCTGGTTACACGTCGCTGTTTTGCGCGAGTACCTAGAGGTTGAGCTAGGAGTGCCAAATTTACCCTTTCGATTCGACTTGGAACGCGCTGTGGATGACTGGATCTTCATGTGTTGTTTCGTAGGAAACGATTTTCTTCCCCATCTTCCAGCTCTCGAGATTCGTGAGCATGGAATCGACACCCTTACTAAGATTTGGAAAGACAATCTGCCAGTCATGGGAGGCTATGTAACCAAGGATGGCCATATTGATCTCGAAAGGGCTCAGGTCATCCTGGATGGATTGGCGCAACAGGAGGACGGTATCTTCAAACGACGAAAGGAGCAGGAGGATCGCCGCGAGGCCAACTTCAAGCGAAGAAAGCTTCAAAATGAAGGTCACGGTCGAGGAGGACGTCAGGGTGGACCAAACCACCCGAAAAAGATTAACGGCTTCGAGAATCCTGCGAACGGGTTACCTTTACAAGCGATAGGATCATACCCTGGCCGGCACGAGCAGACACTAACTCACGATATGATCGTGAATCGTAGTACTATACCTGATGCAAACGTTGCCAATAAGAGCGCTGCAAGTGTGCTCAAAGCACAACTGCAGTCGCAGAAGTCCCTTTCTAGCACGAAATCAGAGAACCCGGAGCAGGGCTCACCTACAGCTCTTGGCAAACGGAAAGCGTCGACTATTGAAGAAGAAAATGCTTCAGCCCTTGATACTGCCAGCGCGCCTCCACCGACGATCTCGGCTGAAGAAGGTCCTGTTGATGATGTGCGCCTTTGGGAAGATGGTTACGCCGATCGTTATTACGAAAAGAAGTTCCATAAAGACCCTACAGACATCGAGTTTCGTCATGGAGTTGCTCGAGCTTATGTCGAGGGACTTGCCTGGGTCTTGCTGTACTACTTTCAGGGGTGCCCGTCTTGGGAATGGTACTACCCATATCACTACGCACCCTTCGCAGCCGATTTCAAAGACATTGCCAAGATGAACATCTCCTTCGAGCAAGGACGTGTTTCCAAACCTTTCGAGCAGCTGATGAGTGTCTTACCAGCTGCATCGAGACACGCACTGCCAGAAGTCTTTCATGATCTCATGCTCAACCCTGAGAGCGATATCATAGACTTTTATCCCGAGGACTTCGAGATCGACCTCAACGGGAAGAAGATGGCATGGCAAGGAGTTGCGTTGCTTCCATTCATCGAGATGCCGCGACTCCTGGCAGCAGTTCAAGCTAAGTACCCGGAACTCAGTGCAGCAGATTCTGCACGTAATGAGATGGGCAGAGATGTCCTCATCTTTTCGGAAAACCACGAGAGTCTGTATGATGAGATCTTGACCAAGTTCTACTCCAAGAAACAGGGAGATTCCAAGTTCAAGCTGAACCCGAAGAAGAGTGATGGGTTGTCGGGTAAAGTAGAGAAGAAAGAGGGTTATGTTCCCCACAGCGAACTGAAGTACCCTCTGGAGCGGAACAGTATGCCCGATCTAGACTATGATCGATCAGTCAGGTATGTTGTTGCTTCCATCGTTCGTCGTTGACGTCGAGCTAACCAAACGAGTGTCTATTACGATTTCCCCCAAGTCTCGCAAACCCACAAGTCGATGCTCCTACGTGGAGTGCAACTTCCGAAACCTGCTCTCACACATACTGACATTCAGGACATGCGGAGCAGAGCGAATCGTGGAGGCAGGAATGGCGGCTACGGTCGTGGTAGTCACAACGGACCAGGCATGTCTCGTGGCCATCAACATAGCCGCCATCAGGGGGGATACGGTAGACCCAACGGTCATTATCCACCCCCGTCAGCATCTCAAGTCCCTCCACCACCAGGAGCACCTGGTTTCGGGATTGGAGTGCCACCACCGCCACCACCAGCCGGCTATTACAACCAGCCATATGACAATCGCCAAGGTGGCTCATCGGGTTACAACCAATATAGAGGCCCTCCACACCCCTCTAATGCTGCACCTGGCTACCATGGCCCCGGTGACCCTTCGTATGGTAGAGGCCGGGGCTCAGGAGGCTATAGTTCGCGTGGCCAGTACCGAGACGGGCGCTCTTATAGGTAGTTGGGCTGAACCTTGGCGCTCGAGTATCTAGTACGTGACATTCGGCTGTTGTAGCTTGACTGCCATAGTTTGGCCCTCAAGACCAGAGCTTGTATCACCGTTGGCAAATTGGCGGAAAGGTATTTGGGACATGGTGCCAGTTATGAACACAGAAGTTGTGACGACCATATTGTGTTTCCGAAGCGCATCTTGACCCGTTACTACAGGTTCTGAAAGTTTCTCCAATGAATGCGATGTTCTCTTTGCTGCTTGGATACATGACTACTACGTGCTTTTCGTGTGAACCGAGGTGGTCATGCTCCAACGGCTGCAGCAATCATCTTAGCGTGTTGGAAAAGGGTAGAGGTAGCTTACAAGAATCTGAGTAATACATATAAGAGCATACGGTTTTGTTAGTGCTGAAGTGTGATGATGACAGCCAAAATGTATTTTATGTATGTTTGTAGTTACTGCCATAAAACATTCCATGTACTGCGAATGGATGTCTGAAAACGGCCCGGCTGCTTTAGTAGAATGGAACCAATCCAATCCGTGTGTTGAAATTTGGATGGGCGCTCACTTGGATAGGTAGACTGGGTACTACCTAGGTGGGTTGTGGGACCTGCGGTTCGCGGGGTTTGGGATGGACAGCCTAGCACCAGTATTGGATGCACCCCTAGAAGGAGCATACCTGCATCCATATCTACCTCTACCCAGGTAGTGAACAACTGCTCCCAACCCACTTGATCCTTCCCAAACTCACCAACGATCGATGCTGTCCCGATCATGAATGGAGACGCAAGCCTCGTCGGCTGTCTCGTCGACAGGCTCGCCACTAGAGTAAGTTTTGTGATAGTTTCATTCCCCATCAGTTTCTTAGGCGACTGACGTTGGGTACTACCTATCTATAGCTTCCCCATCGAGCTGGCACCAGCGGCCAGAGTTTGCAGCAAGATGATGTTCTCCAGGTCACTAGAGCTACTCTGGTTGAGCTTGGGAATACTTCGATTACGACAGTCATTGCGTCGCTTCTAGTTCTACTTGAGGATCTTGCGCGCCCCTACTCGACCGTCTCCGACCATCCTAGCCACATCCTGGCCTCCGAGCTCTACGTTGTCGCCGTTATCGCCGACTGCTGTTCTTCGCATTGGGCGTCCCTTTCGCAAGACGCAGATATAAGACCGAGTCCTTCACCCCCTCCACTGGATGAGGTTCTTGTGAGCCGCCTCTTCGACGCGTTCAAGCATCTCCTTGAACCGATCCCCGAAAACTGTATTCTTCCCGCCCAGACCCTTCTTGATCAGGTATCGACGCGCAATGTCTCTGTCACCCGACCCGAGAGTTCGTCTGTGTCCTCAGACGCAGATAGTTCTCCCCCGAGCGATGAGAAGTTTGCAGAGACATTGGTGGAAATGGATACTCACATCAAGACAGTAACTGAATATGTCACAACATCCAGCTGGATTGCTGCTTTTGACTATCTTAGAAATGTCATATACTCCATACGAACTAGTATTGTCACTCAGCCTGGCGTATCTGCTCCAGGATCATTCCAGGACGCTGAGAGAGCAGCTCTCGTGGTTTTACGCTTACTCTCTTTCTTCTGGGTTGACGGCCCAAAGCTTGGTCAGATTATACAAGAGATCTGTTCAAGCTTCCTTCACTTCCGAAAGCCGTATCAGAACACTATTGCTGTAGTCTCTCCATTATTGATCATGAGGTGGCTGGACAGGTTTCCCCGGGAGTTCGTGCAACTTCACCAACTTCATAAGCGACTCGACGGAGGGGCCGATACATTGTTCGACATGGCGCAAGCTGCAACTGACAACGGGCGCCGAAGAGGCCTCTTCTATCCCCTCCAAACGACGTTGCTGTTCCTCCTACCGGATGTCTTCGAAGTGGCAAGTAACATGCGTGAAGCAAAGAGCAGCAGTATGGTGAAGAAAGTTTCTTTCCTGGATGGATTAAGAAAAGCCTCGCGAAATCGCAATGAGCAAGCAGCTTATTGTCTTGTCTCTTTGCTACGTGCTGCCAGACATTTTGATGTCGAAAGTGACTCAGCACTGGTCAGTTACGCGCTGGATGTGCAAGACGAAGTCCGTGATGCTCTTTTCCGCCGTGTGACCTCTCCAGAATATGGAGTGTTCGATCAAGACATGATGACTGCAGCCTTTGTGAGCTTAACCCATCTCAATCTAGACACAAGCGTTAGCGGCTTTGTCGAGAGCTGTATTGCGTCGAATGCGCCGACCTGTTTCAAACTGGCCGCTGTTCAGGGATGTTCATACTTTGCCCAACAACCTTATGCCCTGAGATATCACGAACTTTTCGATGCAGCAATACCTTTCATGCGAACTCAACTAGAGGTAAGAGTTTTGAATCGCGAACCGCAAAGCTTGCCGTAGCTGACAGTCACAGACCGAGAACGCCAAGACTAGTACGATAAGCCGGCAGGGAAGCGAAAGAACAGAACTCGTTTGCAGCATTCTTCAGTTCTTGGATGCGTCTCCGGCACGTCTGCTGGATGACCTATCTGCAGATAACTCAAACAGCAGCTTCTTTAAATCTTTCCTGCTTTGCGTTCTGTCCGAGAACGCACACATACGTAAACTGGCTACTGGTGTCGCAAGCCGCCTCTTTCAAGGACATCTCGAAGCATATCGTCAATTTGATACTGGACATCGTTTCGGCACAAAGGAGCTACGAGACGATATCTGGAATAGAAGGTAAGTTCCCCGAGTTACTGTGGGTATATGACCGTCAGCTCACGATGTTCAAGCTCAAAGGTTCTCCTCGCATTATGCGAACATGTTACCTCTAGAAAAGACGATCAGAGTCTACGTGATCTCCAGGATTATTTAGAAGCACGCTTGCTTATTCTCAAGAACATTCCGGTATGCTACTACGAACCACTTCACATGTCGGCTGTTGATCGCTTACTTGTGATAGGAACTGGCCAAGGTTCCAGAAGACGCAGGGGATGTTATCAATGCCTCCTCAAAGCTCGAGACGACACTTCTGATCTCTCTCTGTTCTGCCAGCATCACCACCTGTCAGCTGGTGACCTCATGTACAGGGTTGTTCCTTCAAGAGTGTTCGATCGTCGACAAACATGTAGACTCGGCGAAAACGTCGGCTTCTATTCTGAGGAATGCTGAAGTTTATCGTGAGATATCATCACCTGCGTTTCGATTTACTGGGCTGGTTGCTTTCCAGAAACGCGTCAGGGGTCTTCTGCGCCGTATGCAGTTCCCAACAAGTGGCATTTTGAATGCCTGGGAAACAGCGTTTGACCGCTGGCTCCATCTCGCAAAAGACGTTTCTACATCTACTGTTGAGATCGTGGACAGTAGAGCGCTAGCTGAATGGCGGAACTATTCCGGATTCTTGGCATCCTTGGGTGGTATCTGTACTGCCGATCAATCTATCATCCTAGAGGAACCAGCTCTTGGGGGCCTACGATGGATCGATCGCGTTTCTTCTGAACAGTCTGAAGAGCCACTGTTGACGAGGTATCTGAGGCTCAGTATTCAACTCTTAGCTTGTGCTAATGTGCGAGTACGTGAAGCAATGCGAGATGTGCTAGCAAGTGAGGTCTCACCAGCCCTTTACTACCCTTTATTTCGAGCCTTAGAGTCGGAACTGGAAGTATTGTTTACCGGTGCTCTAGCTCCCGTGGAGAAGGACCAGGACAGCGAGGTGGTGTTTGCTGAGCAAGCAGCATCGCTACTCCGTGCCTTGGTGGAAAGACTTGAAAGCCCCTCTGATCTGGGAGCTGCTTCTTCGGTCCACCTGGGGTCACTGACGCTGAATTTCGCAAAGTTCCTGGATGGCGTCAACGACACACCTAACACCTTGAGGGTCAAAATCCGTGTTTGCCATCTGTGTGAAGTCGTGACCAAGCGAAAGGAGCATCTGAACTTGCGAGACGATGTTCGCATACGAAACCAGCTACTTGAATACATTTTTGGATGGATCGCTCGCCCTCGTTCGCCCCAGCATGGGCCTGGCTCTAGGCAAGATGATACGGCTCGTGTCCAGAAAGATTTGGACAAGGCTTGTTTGAAATCATTAGCCGACTTGACGTTTCGCTTACCATTACAACCTTCAGATAGCCACACGGATGCTGGCATGAGCGAGATGAAGTCCCAGATGTTTCACACCTATTTCAATCGCTTTCTGTCCCTGCTTAACCACGAGCCGTCGGAGCTGACTAGATCCGAGACCACGTTGAGCGTTACGCTCCGTGAAGAGTCTGCATCGAACTCGGATCTGGCAATCACTATTTTATCCAATCTACTCAGCGCCAACATTGATGTTGGTCTCAAGCATTCACTCAATATCGGGTATCATGATAACGTTGAGATTCGCACCGCATTTGTCAAAGTTCTTTACAACATTCTCATCCAAGGCACTGAGTTTAGTAACCTAACTGACTCTGCTGTGAGTGAGAAATACGAAGAACTGCTGGAGTTATTGACCAGTGATCTTTCGCTTGCCATTTCCATGGCAGTCGCCTGCCCGAGTACAGAGGTTGATGAGCTCACCATATGTCTGCTGACTGTTTTCGAACAAAGGGGACTGACTTTCGAATTGCTGGAGGCTCTCATCAAACAGGAGATCCAAGACACCGAGAACGAGGCTGAAATCCTGCGTCGTGGCTGTGTAGCGACAAAGATGCTGTCCGTCTATGCCAAGTGGAAGGGTGCTACATACATTCGAAATACACTTCAAAAGGTTTTGGAGCGGCTTATGTTGACTTCAAAAGATCTCGATTTGGAATTAGATCCTGCAAGAGTCGGCACGACAGAAGAGCTGCAGAAGAATGCCTTACAGCTTCGCATAGTCGCTAAAGTTTTCATCGATGATATTTGCGCCTCTTCTTCCAACATTCCTCCAGCCTTTCGCAAAATCTGCCATATCATATCGAACGCAGTAATGCCAAGATTCCCTGATGCAAAGTATACAGCGGTAGGAGCGTTCATCTTTCTCCGCTTCTTCTGCCCGGCTATCGTTGCTCCTGAGGTCGAGGGACTCGTATCAACGGCACCGTCCAAAGAGATGCGACGCGGCTTGCTTCTTATTGCAAAGGTTATTCAAAACCTAGCGAACAATGTGCTGTTCGGAGCTAAAGAACCTTACATGTTCCCACTCAACGACTTTCTAACACAGAATATATATCATGTTACCACATTCCTTCGGGAGATTTCTGTCCCGCCTCACGGGTTGGAGGCCCACGGTTCTGTTGAATCTTTTGACTTCGGGTCGTGTGTCGCGCTTCATCGCTTTCTCTACGACCATTGGGATCATGTACGGCAGACGCTCATATCACGCGAAAGAAAGGACTATGGCAAAGCATCGGGTGATGTTGTGCGAGGGCGATCACCAGTTCTAGAACCATTGAGAAACCTCATAGCAAATCTTGGTCCGCCACCGCTTGCTGTTTCTTGGAATAGACCCCAGGTCTCTTCCAACAGCCCGCCACTGTATTCTCGATTCCAGAACTTCATGCTCCGAAACGCTTTTCGAAGCACAGAATCCTTCTTGACAGCACGAGCTGTCTATGATGGAGGCGAGAGCAAGGTAGGTCTTGGTTGTAGTTGCCAACTTGTTGACAGACTGACAGTGTCTAGGATGGTCTGTCCATTATTTGTGTTATACTTCGTCATATTGAGACAGAAAGCATCGATTACGACACCCTGCTATACTGTTACCTCAAGATCGCTAGCCGGCTATGGCATCGTCCATTCGGGATTTTAATTGATGCGACCTGCTACAATGGGCGTAATGAGCCTCAGGATGATCTGTTCAAGAAACTGGAGCTACTCACCCCATCAGAATTGTCACAGAATCTTGCCCGCATCTATGTCTACAACATGAACAGTGCATTCAAGTAAGTCAAATCAGACCATGATAGAATTTGATTGGGCTAATGCTTGTGGAAGGCGTTGCTTCCGGCGTCTGCTGAGGGTATGCACCAAGAACGAGAATGGTGTATTCAACCCCAAGAACGTCGAGTATCACTTGATAGGGAGCCTACAGGATTTGCAGGCACATTTTCATTTGAGCCAGCTACATTTACCAAAAGAGACAATCAGTGTAGTGACTGACACTCGCTATGTCTTCCAGCCCATTACGCGGCTATCTAAATCAAAGGGCAAGATCGAAGTCATCATCAAAGTTGGCAGTCAGTTTGTCCAGGTCACGACCACCAAAAAGCAGGAGATCTTTGCAGGGTTTCGTCTCGGCACTACCGTCAACGACATCTTCCGTTTGGGTGAAGTTGATGAAGCTCCAACGTCCATTCAAACCGAGGACGACTCAGCTTTTGGCCTGAGAGCAGACAATGGAAAAATTGTCATGTATTTCACGAGTCCCAAGAAGACCGACGTCCTTCAGACGATTAGGGGCGCAAAGGCCAAGCATGGTAAAGATGGCAGAGCTCACAAAGCTGTTGAGCGGCTAATTCGACCGCAAGACGTTCCGGGTACGCTGTTGAATCTTTCTTTAGCAAACCTTTCCAGCCATGATCACATTCTCCGACTATCCTCTTATAACCTCTTGGGGGCGCTCTGCAGGGCTTTCAAATTTAGCGCGGCTTCCAGGATTGTTTGCACTAAAGGTTGGTCACCCGATTTGAAAAGACAGGAGTTTATGTGTACTGACCTAGTGTCTTGGTAGATGTTTCTGTCCCTCTCGATCCGACTCGCTTCGTCGTGGACATCAGCAATGAGTTGGCAATGAGTGAGCCCCAGCTGACATCGGACTTTTTGACCGAGTTTTTTGTTGGGTGGGAGAGTTTCCCAGATGAACAGAAGCCCCTCAGCCTAGCCTATATGGCCCCTTGGCTTCCCGGCCTGCGAACAAACATTTTAACAAACGACTTGGACGGTGAAAAGGGAAGAGAAAGGGTTGCAATCCTGTTCCGAAAGCTCATCGATGTGACCGTTCAGGACCATGGCCTCGCATTTGCCTTGGAGCAGTCGGTGTGGCCGAAGATAGTTCAAGACGAGATTCTCCTTGAGGTCTTTATGGACGAACTTCTCAAATCAGCCATGACTTACAGTGCGCATGAGGAGTTGGAGGTGATTTCATCAATCGTGGTAGGAATCGGAACGGTAACCCTGCGAGGAAGGATACTGTCCAGGCTTCGTAAAGCCCTGAACAGGTCATCGCTACGGCCTACCAAATACCTCCCAGATAACGCCGTCTGGGCTGAGATATGCATCTTGCTTCGATTCTGCCTTGCCTTGTCATTCGATAATGGCGTCCAATCTCAACTCTTCCTACCCGAAATATTTCACATTGTAACAATGCTCGCCAATACGGGGACCCAAGAAGTTCGTCTGCTCGTCTATCGTTTGTTGGTCAACTCGGTCCATGCCGTGTGCACATCATTCAATCTTGATGATGTTCGTTCCAGCAAACTCCGTGCGAGCTTAGATTTCCTTTGCGATCCTCGCAGCGACATTTTCACAACGCCCCCTACCTTTCCACGGGACGGCGCGTCAGTCTCAACCTCTCAGGATGCTGGCCCTGCACTGACAGCTACCGAAAATCTTGCATCTGCCCTCTTCGAGATCTGCTCTGTCGCCGCACCAACGATTGACCTGGCCAATACATGGCGATCAAGGTGGATGAGCCTTGTGGCTAGCACAGCCTTTCAGAACAACCCTGCTATTCAGCCACGCGCCTTTGCGGTCATGGGTTGCCTGGCGCGGGAAGAGGTTGATGATGACTTGCTTTACCAAGTGTTGGTGGCTTTGCGCAACAGTGTCAACCGGTTCGGGGAAGATCATAATAGCGAAATGCTTGTATCCATTGTGACTTCGCTGTCAAAAATGATGGCCAAACTTCCTTCAGCATCTAGATACGGTCTGCAGTTATTCTGGTTGGCCATGTCTCTGGTACGCTTGGTCCCTGCAAATCTTTTCAACTGCACTGCGCAGTTTCTCGAGGCAGTCCTGGCAAACATTAGCACTGGAGAAGAGTTTCAAGGCGACAACATGGCACCACTTCTTCTTCAAGGCAGAGCTCCCTTGGACGAGGCCGCCTTGCCTTTGGAAGAGGAATACGGCATCCATTTCGAACAAGATACTTTCCACCTAGCTGTATGCGCATGCCTCGCCCGTGGGCTGACAGACACCATGACAAGACAGACTACTATGAGGGTGTTATCATCGTTTTTGAAAATGACCTCCAAAGTGGATGGAAAGGGGAGGCCTCAGATCGCGCAAACCTCACCGTACTTATCTTTGCTAGTAGCGCGTGCTGTCGGGAACCATGAGATGAAGGATAGCCTGTGGTCCGCTGGCATAGATGCAGACGATATCGGGTTACTCAACGGGATACGCAAGGCACCTGAGCTGGATGCAATGTCTGACGATGCGCTACTGCTGATCACAGCCATCGAGCTTGTTGATTTTCAGTACGTTGAGGACATTGTACAGGCGCGGAGCCTGGATTGGTTGAACATACTTGCGCAAGAGCGCCCGTCTGTAGTTGAGCACTTGTAAGTCGATGTAAGTATGATTCGCGTTGCCCATGCTGACTGAGATAAAGGTGCGGAGCAATTCGGTCACTTTTAGATGATACCCTGCTGCATAGCCAGAATTCGGTCACATTGAGATCAGCACACACGTTATTGCGTGCACTATCATCAAGTCAACAATTCTCGCGGGCAGCGAGCGCAACGTCAACACTAACTGATATCCTAGACTCAGTGGGCTTTAGCGGCCTATGGCAATCATGTTCATTTGGGTCAATGGAAGATATTAACCGGAACCAGCTTGAACTAACTGAACATTTAATAGAAGTAAGTTAAAAGATATTATATAAATAAAATAAGCTATACTAACTATATATAGTTAATAATTATTTAATATAAAATAGTTATTATATAAGTAAATAAAGTTATTTTAAATATTAAAAGATTAAAAAGAAAAGGTTTAAAATAAAATATTATTATTTATTTATATATATATTATCTTCTTATTATATAAAGTAAATAATAAATCTAATTACCCTATAGTATAGTAATTTATTATTAATTGTAAAAGTTTATAATAAGGTTATAAGGTAAGTAAAACCTTAATTAATAGAAATAAAAAGCTTATAAAAAATACCTAGTACTATAGATCTTTTTTTTTATTAACTAAAAAGAAATATTTATTTATTATCCTTTTTAAACTATAAGTTCTAGGTTAAATCTATCTTTAATATTTTAATTAATAGTAACCTCTTTTAGTAAAGTTAAATCTTAATAAGTTAGGTATATATATTATATTAGCTACTAAACTTTAATAATAGTAAATATATATATATTATAATAGCTACTAAGCTGTATATAAGGTAAGTAAAGAAATATTTATAGTTATTAATTAAAATACTCTTATAAGTAAATATATTTTATACTTAAAAAAAAATATATAAAAGCTAACTTAATTCTAAATAAAATAATAATAATTAACTAATTAGCCTTCCCTAGTTAAAAGATATTATAATTAATATATAATTCCTTCTATAGCCTTATTAACCTTATTAGATAAATATTAGCTAGTAAAGCCTTTATAAAAGATATTATTTTAACTTAGCTATAACTTTTTTTTTAAATTCTTTAAGCTTTAGTATAATATAATTATTAAACCTACTTAACTTATAACCTATTTATTATATCTTTTATAATAGTTTTTAAGCTTTTTTTAAGTTACTTAGGTATAAGAGTTTCTATATATTACTAAGTAGTTTATTTTAAAATATAATTAAGTTTAAAACTAATTACTATTAACTTCCTAGGTTATATTACTTAAAATCCTAAATATTTAGCTTTAGTTAATAAATATATAAGATAAATATTAAATAAAATTAAATAAAATTTTAAATTAAATTAACTTCAGATATATTTATATATAGTTTATTTAAATATTAAATTAAATAAAATAATACCTTTACTTTAAATCTAATTAATAAATTAAAAAGTACTTATATTAAAAGTAAATTAAAAAGTATATTAAAAACTTTTAAAGCTATATTAATAATTATAGATTAAAAATAAATATTAATATTTCTTTAAGTAGTTAATAAACTACTTAAAAGTAAACTTTAAAGAATACTAAGAATATTTATATAATTAAAAGATATATATTAAACCTTACTTATACTAAGATTAGTTATAAAGTATTACTTTATAATTTAAGGATAACCCCTCTAGGGTAGGTTAAAGTATAGGCTTATCTTTATTAAAGTTACCTATATTAATTAAACTCTAACTATTACTAACAAAGCTTTAACTTATATATATAAAAGGCTACTATGTAAGGTACAGTAGCCTAGCCCCCTTCCTTCTTCCTATACCTATACCTATACCTCTTATACTACTATATAAGCAGTAAGTTAATTAACCCCTACCTATTACTACATATTACTAACCTATTTTATAGTAATATTAACTAAATACTATAGTATTACTTTAATTACTAATTAGTACTATAAGCTTAATAATAAAGAACTTAATAAGCTAAAGATT